GAACCATAAAACTAAGTTTTAAAGTTGTACCCTCATTAGGAGATAATAGAATGAGTTCCCTAGTCATAAAAACAGAGACACAAGCAAAATCCATGCATCGAGTCAAGAAGATCAAGCATTCAACATCCTAAACTGGAAAAAATATATTAAAAATACATCTGCGCCAGCCTAATAGATGAAGAAGAGGTGCGGGACTGGTCAACAGATACAATCTATTTACCCCTTAAGTCTTTGCCTAGAAGGCCTTCTACAAAACAGTAGCCGGATGCATTTAACATCTGCCCAAGATGATTATTTTTATCGAGACCCATCTCTAGCCTTTATTCAACCAAGTGCCCTTAGACAGGGGGTGTTTAATGTCGGAGTTGGCATCTCCTAGCCTTTGCCTAAAAAGACGTATCGTACAAGGCAGCAGGACATGAAGCAAATTGTACATGTTACCAGTAGCAGGATAACTTCACCTGACAACTTATTTTATTTATTTTAAGAATTTTATTAATTCATTTTAAGAATACTAAACAGAAAAAACCATCGGTTAATCCGGGACAAACATCAATATTGACCACAAAATCAAATCAATTTGGCAAAAGAGCAACGCTCTGCTTTTTGTAGATTGATCATGATGTATCATGAGCCTCTGAAAACTAGTGAAACTAATAATACTAATTGCTGCAAACAACAAATGTTCAATTTAAACCATGATCAAAAAACAACCAGAAGACACAGCAAAGTACTTTTCTTAAACGATAATGCGCCTGCACACAAAGCAAAACTGGTTCAGTATACAATCATAGCAAATAGGTGGGACCTGCTACCCTACCCGCCGTATTCACCAGACCTGGCCCCCTTCCGACGACCATTTGTTTTTATTGATGGGACACACATTGGCTAAGCAACACTTCAATTTTTACTAAGAAGTTGGACAGGTGTACATTTACATGCAATTAATAATGCAATACAACAAAAAAGCATGCAATTATCCAATTTGTAGGAGAAATCTCTAGTTCTTTTGAAAAATCTAAATAAACATTAGGAGTTTTTCATTGACTTATCAAAAGCATTCGATACTGTCGATCATGAAATTTTGCTACACAAGCCAAAATATTATAGAATAAATAGCAAGGTTATAAAATGGTTCAGAAGTTATTTATCTAAACCGTAAACTATTTGTCTTTAGCAATAATGATTATCCAAATAACTTTCTAGATATTTCAAGTGGCGTCCCACAAGGTTCCATTTTAGGACCACGATTGTTCTTGGTTTACATAAATAACTTAAATAAAGCCTCAAATTACGACACTAACTTATTCCTTCTCGATAAAAACATTTAAAAACTCTTCTATATTATAAATAATGAACTTAAAAGAATATCCAAATAGGTTAATGCAACAAACTAATTCTTAACTTTAAACAAACAAGTTGGATTCTTTTCCATCCAATCTCAAAAAGCTTATTTGCCCCGAAGTTTGTAAGAAATCTTTATTGATGATGTTGAAATAAAAAGATATTATGTCACAAAGTTCTATTGTGTTTTTCTTGATGAAAACATCGCATGGAAAATGCATATGGGCAATTCCATTTAAACTTACGTTACACACGCAACAACTTTATCAAATATTTGCCTATTTAAACTGTAATTTAAACTTTTAGCTGTTTATTATGAAAGCTGTTAGTCTAAAGAATAAAATATTCTAAAAAGTTTTAAATCTGGCCGAAAGAGGGCGAGCTTATTACTGAAAATGCCACTTAACTTACGTTGGAAGAAAAACAAGGTAAAAAAATTGCTTCAACTTTTACGTTAGATTTCTTCTAATAAGTAAAGCTGCTTGTATTAGAAATTTTTACAAGATGTTGAGAATTCTATTCCAATTTAAAAAATTTATAAAAATTTATTAGAAGTGACTGGCTTAGAAAAACAAACTTTTTTGATACTGTATATTTAATTTACATTACATCACTTATGTTACCGAGCGATTATTATTGTGGATTTTTTATATCTATTTTTAAGAGTTAAATTACGTAACAAAAGAAGCGCAGAAGTATTGAACTCATTCATTAAAAATAATTAACAAAGGAAATTAGAAAACTGGTGTCATTCTTCCTGAGTGATTTTTCATAACATTTATTATAATTAGGGGTCGTCCATAAAATACGTACGCTCATAGGGGTGAGGGGGAGGTCTTAAAAAGACGTTTAATTTAAAAGTACATATATCGATTTTCTAATTTATCACAATTAACCAGCTAATCAATAGAAAAGTTAAAATTCTGACTAAAGATCATAGTTTGCCAACATAAAAAGATGTTTGGTATAGGGAGTAGAAGGTTGCGGGTCCCCATACATGTGTGTGCATTTTCCCTCAATGCACACACACGCATGGGGATCCGCAGGATTTTTTTATGTTCCAGATAGAACACTTTCACACATTGTACAAACTTCTAACTTAAGTATGTTTATACCTATGCCAAATGAGGAGGTCTTGCAAAAAATTAAGAAGGCGGGGGCCTGGGAGCAAAAAAGGCCTAAAACGCCCTTTCCTCTCCCATAAAAAAAAAAAAAAGAAAGCGGAGAGGTGTAAATTTTGTATGGTCACAACTTTTGTAATTTACAATACTTTTCTACAAAATTTAAAATCTGTCGATAAATTTAAATTTAGTTTTAGATAGTAAAGTTGAAATTTTACTACATTAGTGCTCTCACGCTTGGGCAGGGGGAAGTGTTTTAGGTTTTTTTGTTCCCAGGCCTCTGTCATCCCACTTTTTAGCAAGGCCTTCTCATTTGGCATAGTTATACTTAAGTTTTAGAGCTTGCACAATGTTCACACCTTTGGCATAAGCATACTTATGTTTGAAGCTTGTGCAAGACCCAAACTTACGTGCCAAATCTGTGAAAGTGTTTTATCTAGAATATCAAAAAGTCCTGCGGGCGCTCATGCACACATGCCACTCCTTATATACTAGCCCTGAGTAAGACTTATTTCAAGCAATCTATTTTTTGAGTCGACAAAAAACAGGTTTTAGCAATGCCGTGGCTAATGGGTTGGAAGCCCCCAAAAAACGTGTCATTTGAGTCACAAAATCTCCCAAATTTTACCGCTAGGTTTCGCTAAACTAAAAAGCTCCTTAAATTAACAAAAGAATACTCGATTTTTTGCCACTTGGATCTCCGTCGCCTCAGTCTGCAACACTAACCGCTCGACCAAGAGTACACTTGTACGTAATATAAGTTAACAATATCAAAATTAATATTTGCATATATATTTGAAGAGATTTCTATAATACGGATCCTGTGCCCAAACAAAGAGCTTTTGGGTCGAATAAAGTATGTAAGATACCTCCTCCACCTTTTTTTTTCCCATTAACTTTTTCATTAAAGAAAAAGTGTTGTTTTTTTTTTGTTTTTTTTTTTTTTTTTTTTTTTTGGGGGGGGGAGGGGGAATTTTTTTTTTTTTTTAATTTTACATTTGTTGGTCTTATTACAACTATATATTGCCAAAAAAAAAAAATAATAATGACAATAATATTAAACTTTCACAAATATAAAATAAGGTATCTGAAAGAAGATCAAAGGATCTTGTCGTCAGAACCTTAAATAAGTTCACCAATATTTTATATAAACAATATTTTATATAACTCACCAATATTTTATATAAACGTATACGTTAAGTAAAGAATATAAAATCAACAAAATAAGTAAGAATAAACTTTTTACAAATATAAATAAGAAAAGGCAAAGTTATTAATTTATATTATTAATAATAACATAATACGTCTTCTAATAAAAAAAATTAGGGTTTTTAATTTACTTTTAAAATAACGAAAAGTAATGGGTAATTCGAAGTCAAAATTGGCCAAAACAATTTTATTCCAAAGGTATGGTGCACAATAGGCAATACAAAATTGATTAAAGTTTGTTTGACAGAAAGGTTCATTTAAAAAATCAGTATTTCTCAAATTGTAATTGTTGATGGGTTTCGGAGTAAAAATATCTTTGAAGACAGATTGAGACAAGTCATTTTTCCACATTATAAACATTATATATATTTAGCTCGTATATATTTAAAATTCTCATTTCAATAAAATAATGTTTTGCGTGAGAAAAGCGATTTGCAAAGCAGATTAAACGGATATTTCAAAAATGTATGTACTTTTTAAAAGGGAAAGGACTTAGAAGTACGCATGGCCACAGGGGGGAGGGAGGGGGTCAGACTTCAAAATTTTTGGCGTACGTACTTTATGGACGACCCCTTACCATATGGAAAACATATGGAAAACAATATCGCAAGACCAAGAGCAACTTTAAGAAATTGTTTTAGTGTTACCACTTTATAAAGTGGTAACCACTTTATTAAAACTTATTTGAGTCATTTAAATGTCATTTAAAAAAAGCCAGAACATGTTATTTATTCATTTATAGTTATTAAAATTATGCTAATATTGTGTGGGGAAGCACTAAAAATAGTAAGTTTACAATGCCTGGAACTGTAAAAAAAAAAAAAAAAAAATGCAATAAAGCACTGAAATAAGTAATTTACAATTCCAATCTCAAAAAATTTTTTGCGTATCAATATCAAAATAACGCTCAATTCATACCGATACACCTGTACACATTTCACTGCATCTTATTAAACTTTTGCATTAAATTTATTTTTATCAGTTAAACAATTTATTTTTTATTAAACTATTTTTATTATACAAGTTTTATTTTGTTTTATACAATTAAAAAAAAAAAAGATTTTGAGAACACTTATATAAAATATTTAGTTTATTCGACAGTTTTTTAATACAAGTCATCAGATGTAACTAAAATCCAAACATATCATAAACACAACCGTTTAAAGATATTTTGAATTATTAATTATATAATACGTTTTATTGACAAGCATTCCTATGAAGTAGATCAAAACGATATGCTGTGAACTGTTTGTTTGTTTGGTACAAATTAAATTAATAATTTGTTATTATTGAAACTTATTTATATTTTGAGTGAAAAAAAAGTAATTTTCACACTTTGCGAAACATAATTTTTATTGCGTCAGTTGTATTAGAGGTAAACATCTCAGAAATTTGTGCAAGTAAATTAGTTCCATTCCTTTTGTAGTTGAAAACAATTTTTGACAAGTCAACCTGTAAAATATATATATATATATATATATATATATATATATATATATATATATATATATATATATATATATATATATATATATATATATATATATATATATATATATATATATATATATATATATGATAACAGAATATCTATGCACATACATTTTAATGAAAATATGTTTAAAAAATTATTACCTCACAACGACTTATTAATATATCCATGACTCTTTTTTCTTGTCTATTGCTAATTGCAATTATAAGTTCATTGCTAAAGTAGGCTGCACTGTCTTCGCATATTGATACTAAATGTTTCAAACAAACCAAATTACTTAAAAAAGTTTTTATTTTTAATATTTTTAAAGTACAAGCTGTGAGGTCGGATCGTAATGTTTTGCTTTCGAGAAGGTAACGCATATGCAAATTCTCAAAAATGTATATTTATCCCTTGTCAAGAATGTATGCGCAAACAAAATATATAAAAACGCAAACTAATGCTTTAAACAGCAAATGCTCAAATACAGCTATAAATTTGATTTTAAAAGAAAATTTTCTTCGTACCTATTTTTTTTAAAGCCAGTTTTGTGTCGTCGTGGAATTCAATATCAATACTTTCCGTTATTGGAAATCCGTATTTCAAACCATAGCTACGAATTATAGCATCTAAAGTGGCGGTATTATAAGGTTGCGTTGTCAGCAAACTAGAAATGTATTCTGGACTTTGGTTCATAAAGCTGTTTTCAATTTGGAGAGTTGTCTCATTATTTTCAGAACTTTCCATATTCTCCTCGCGTTTTAAGCGAGAGAGCGGTATCATTATGTTTTTCATACTTACGGCTACGTAGCTGCTAAGTGTTCCATAAAGATCATCAGCAAATGTAGTATCATATGCTAAAAATATGCATGCTAATCACATTTCTAAATAGCTTTTGTAATAATAATAATAAAAATAATTTCAACAAACGTTTTGAATAACACGATTATTTTAACGTATTTCTTTTCTGTAAGTGTTTTTGTGTTTGCAAATGATGGAAAAAAAAATAAGCAATGGCTTTTTACATACAACAATTATTAAGAACTTCGTTAATGATTCATTTTTTTTTAATACAACTAACAAAAATAGTTTAATTGTTTTAGGTTTACTAACTATTTATAAAAAGTAACATCAACGTTTACTATTTATGAAAAGTAACATCAACAACAAAATAATTGAAAACTATTTATATTTTAAAAAGGAATTGAAGTTGGAAAAGACATAGGGTAGATTAGGGTAATATGAGACCTTGGTAGTATGAGCATACTTAAAGATTTCTTAGATATAAGAAGTGAAGATAAAGGTGCTTTGTATTTTTTGAATCGACTTTATGTGCTGATAACAGGAATCATTGCAATTAGCGTAAATTTATTAGCAGTAATTAGTGGCTATCATCTAATTAAAAAGCTGTTAATTTTTTTGCGTTGTTAAATAATATCGTAACGCATAAATAAATCTGTAGCGCAAAATTTTGGTGCTAAAATAATGAAATTAATTTTTTCATAAAGAAAAATATGTTAGCTAAAAATCCAATCCATTTTTTTTGAAAAATAATGCATAGAATCATTTAGTTTTGACTTTATTTTAAGATATCATTTTTGTGTAATACGAGCATTTTTGTGTAATATGAGCACCCAGCGTTTTCCATTGAAATTACCTAGTCCTAAAATAGCAATGGTTTTAATGGCTTTTTGAATAAAAACAAAACATAGTAAAAAATTTTAATATTTTAACAATACTAAAGGTTTGAGTTAATAAAATTGAAAAATAACAAAGTAATTTTTTTTTGTTGCGGAAAACATAGCAGTATTGTTTTAACAAAAAGTGGCCTAAAATTTGATCTTTTAATGATAAGTTTTGTTAACAACGAATTATTAAATACAAAAAATTAGTTCTAATTGTCAGGTTGGTATTTTTTTACTTAATTAATGTTATTTTTTTTGAGCTAATTTAAAGTGCTCATATTATTAGTGGTCTGGGTAATATGCGTACTTTAGCTACTTTTTTAAAACTTCTGGTGTTTTTTTTAAAAAAAACTTTGGAGCCCCAAATATCTAAGTGGGTCATAAGTAGGGATCCCTAAAAATTGTTAATTTGTAAAAATTTTGGACGCAGCTTAATCATTTTTGAAAATATTCCAATCTTTGCTTAAGGTACTCATATTACCCTTATCTACCCTAAATAGTAAAAAAAAAATTAAGTTTTTCTTTTTGTTCGTATTGTCCCGTTTTTTCATTTTGCTCGTTTTGTTTCGAAACCCAAATAAATCAATATAATACTCAATTTGCATGATTTTTATTTATATTTTTAAAAAGTTTTATCAAAATATTTTTGCTGTTTTGATAAAACTAAATTAAATACTATTGTTTTGAATTGTTATACACACGCACAAACACACACGCACGAACATACATACACACAGACACACACATACATATATTGTTCACTGGTATATATATATATATATATATATATATATATATATATATATATATATATATATATATGTATATATATATATACATATATATATATATATATATATATATATATATATATATATATATATATATATATATATATATATATATATATATATATGTATATGTATATATATATATATATATATATATATATATATATATATATATATATATATATATATATATATATATATATATATATATATATATATATATATATATATATATATATATATATATATATATATATACTGCAACACTAACTTTTTTTATATATGTATATTAAAGTTTGTTTTATAAAAGTTACTAAAAGATGTGATGTAGTCTTTTCAACTAGTAACACAAGAACACTGAATTTCTGCAAATTCAAAAACAAAAAAGTCTTTCATGTCAGGATGTTGAACATTCAAAGCATCCACTTTCAAAGAATCCTAGAATGTTAGAAAGATTGGAAAAACGTAGCTAATGTAAGTTTATCATAATGGAGGCAGTTGACTTAATAGATAGTGAAACGGATAGCACCAATAATCCTTAAAATGAAACTGTATTTCCAAACAAATTGATTTCAAATGATTACTTTTAGTCAGAGTTATTATTCAAAAAGATTTATTTATTCATGTTGGTAAAATTATTAACACTAAGCACAGTGAGAACATAGTTTTTGAAATTTCTCATCCAAAAAAAGTACTACTTTATTTAAATTTTTATTTATTATATTTAAGCGAACTGCATACCATGTTCAACTTACCCATGCACAGATCTATTATATAAACGCTTTAAGTAAATTTATGGAACTTCTAAAACATGCTGTATCTCTGTCTACGTCCATGCATTGGATTGACTTGAAAATTCTAGTAATTTAAAAACATCAATACCAAACTAGTTCAAAAAAATAAGACAGTTGTAAATTATTTGTGTATTTTACAAACTTTTTAATTTAGTAAGGTATATTAATTTATAATATTTCTTTAAAATATGTATTTAATTGAAAATTATCATTTTTAAAGCCAGTGAACAAATATTATCCAGAAAACGAAAGTCGTTTTTAACTGTTAATAATTTAGACTTAATTAATACTTTTTCTGCGGAGATAAAAAAAAAATATTCAAAAGACCTTTACATAAAACATCCATGAAAACGAGGCTGTGCTTGTTAAAAATTAACCAAAGCCATAATTTAAAAAAATTTAAGTTTTACAAATAAGTTTATAGTTTTTAAATAATATTTTTATAACTTTTAAAAAGAAGTCTGTATGAAAATCTACACGATCTTAAAGAATCTAGTTTAGATGGAATTAGATTTTTTCAAAGTTTTGTACACCTTTTACTCATGAAATTACAGAATAGTTTTTGGTGTAATTCAACAACCAAAACAAGAAAGATTTTCCATTACTACCATTACATTAAATATAAATTTGTAGCGAAAATAATTATAATAATTTATTATAATAACAAAACTATTCATTCTAAAGTTAATGATCATATAATTAAAGTACTTAGGAAACGACTGATAAAGATAGTTGGATGTTCTTAGCGAGTAGCGAGTTCAATACAACTAAGTTCTTAGGTGTTTGGGAAAATTTTTTTGGAATGACGTGAGAAATATTAATCATTCCAATTTTCGAGAAAAAAAAATTTATTTCAACATTTACAAAAATTTCTCAGATTTGATGGATGAAAGTGGTTTTCAGTTGTTTTCAATGGATGAGAATGGCTTTTAGTTGTCACCAAAAAGTAGTTTATTAGTTGTTGATCTAGGAAAAAATACTTTTGAAGAAAATGTTTAAAGTAATAAAAAAAGCATCATCGTTTTATTTGCAGTAAATACCAGTGGAACTTTTGCTCCATAATTAACAATTTTTAAATTTTAATAGTTTGTCTTGCAAATAGAATTATAAATGCTGCTTCATCAGGATGGGGTATTAAAAAGTGAAACTGGTTGGATGACCGCAGAATGGTTTTTTGAGTATATCACAAATGTTTTTCATCCATTTTTGATAAAATAAGAAATTCATTTACGAGTTATTATTTTTTTTGGATGGTCATGCGTCACATTTTTCTATCGAACTTTGTAAGTTTTGCTCTAAAAATGAAATAATTCTTGTTGCATTGTTCTCAAATGCAACACATATTTTGCAGCCGCTCAATATGGAAGTTTTTGCCGACAATAGCGCATTGACCATGAAGGATAAGAAGTAGTCAATGAAAATGTACCAGAAGTATTAAATTCATTTATAATTGATCCTTCTATGGCAAATAATATTAAAAGTGGTTAAAAAAAAAAACGGAAATTTTTCACTTGATGCTAATAGTGCTTACTACACAAAAATTGTTCAAAGATTATCTGAGCCAACTGTTGCTCCATCTCCTTCTTTAGAAGAGAACCATTCAAGTGTGACTTTATAACATTTATTGAAAAGTGCATCAATCCAAATATTTTAGAGCAGTTTAAAATAGCTGACGAACGTTTAGTTTAGAAAGGTGAAAAGAGCCTTACCTGAAACATATAAGAACATAATTTTACTTGATGAAGTACAACAGGGTAATAAAAATCTATCAACAACTTATATGAAAACATCCGATATGGAAAAGCTGATTGCATTATTGCAGCGGTAATAGAACCAAATCCAGCTTGTTTCAGTTTAAAAATAGCAGCAGAAATCATAAATCCAATCAAAAGTATTTTAATTTGGCCAAAACAATCCAAATGTCCAAGCGCAAAATAGAGCGTTTACCGTTGGTTGTAGCATCTGAAACGTGGCAGCTAATTCAAAAAACAAAAGTGCAAGAAAAGTCACCAATAAACAATAATAAATTACGAAAGAAACAATTAGCTGCAGATAAAAAGTCAAAAATAGAGGAAGAAAGATTAAAAAAGAAACAATTGGCTATGGAGAAAAAAATATTAAATCAAAAAGCTAAAAAGGAAGGAAAAACGTTAAAATTTTGAAAAAGAAAAAGAAAGTTGCAAAAGAAAAAGAAAGCATTAAAACTGAGTCAGAAAACGAGTTCCATTCAAATTTTGACAATAATTATAAAATAAGACTCAGATAATTATGATGAAACTCTATCCTTTCCAGATTAAGAACTTAGAGGCTATGTACTAATGTACTACTATTAGTAATGAAAGTACTTTAAAATCTTCAGTTTTAATTCATAATAATATTTTCATTACTATATAATTAATGTTTATTTAATAGTCTTTTTTTTTAAATTTATATATCTAAAAATTGTTTAATAAAATGTTACTATTGCATTAATCTTAATTTGAAACCGCGAGCGCATTATAAATCAGACTCTAAAGCAAATTTTAAAATATACGATAAGCGTCAACAGTATTAACGATAAGTGTCAACAATATATACGATAAGCGTGAAACACTTCCGATAAGAATAGAAAACTGCGTTTTAAATTTTTATCAAAATAAGTACATTATTGATTTAAATTTCAGAGTGAGAATAATTTTAAACTAACTCTTATAGAATTACATTGGCGGCTGCAAAAATTCATTTTCAATACATTTCTACTTTTGAGTAACCTAACATAATGTGTCGGCCCTGAAACTTATAAACATAAAGCGTGTTTATAAAACTTTTTTAACTTCAGATAAAACTTTAATAACTTCAAATGTTAACACTTCCTACTTAACTGGTTCCAATTAAAAGAAATATGAGAACATAATAAGTAACATCAAAATTACTTTAAAATACCTTTAAAATAGATTTCTTTTGCTTTTTCCACAATAGAAGTCTCCCAAGCTGTGAGCAACTCAGTAGCTAAAAGATAGTTTGATGTAATAATGCAGCTCCGCAAAAGAGTAGAAAGAAATTCTTCAGTGGTAATTAACAAGTTTGAAATCAAGTATTGAATTGAACTTGAAGTTTTTCGAAGAATTATTTTTACTAAATCCTAAACAATAGGTTGTATACTTGATTAGAAAATTTTTATGTTTGACAACAGGCTCACAATAAAAGTTATACCTGTTCGTAACTGCTGTTATACTTTTCTCGAAGCAACAGTCTGTAAGAGTAGCTTCTTGGAACAATTAAATTTATTAGTTGATTTTCATCAATATTAAACTGTTGCAAAATTTCATTTAAAGTAACAACATCAAGTGTTGCTTGCTCGTCTGTTTCCACAAAACTGTCGTAATATAAAGCGTCGCTTAGATCCTTTGGATCTAATAACGGCGTGATTGCATTAATGTTAGGATATATTTTATCGTTGGTTATAGATTGAGGCACATCGAGTAAGAAATTGCTTGTCGCAGCTGCTGAATCCACGCAATGCGTATGTATTTTGGTACTATCGGTAGTTGGAATATTTATTTCTGGTGTTACTTTACATAAAGGGTTAGATTCAGTTAAATCAGTTGATGTATCGTGAGATGCGGTGTTTCTCAATGTCTCGTTTTTATTGTTTTTATCAGAATGTTGGCTTTCATTATTATGGATGAAGCATTTCTCGTTTTGATCGTTTAAATTATGATCAAGTGACGCATCTTGAGGAGTTTCTTTGTATTCGTGTACGTTTATTACTTTAGTTTCATCATTTGGTCCACTTTTGACTGTAGCATTGCTTTCTAGACTCTATGTTGACGAGCAAGGAAAATATTTTGAAACAAGAAATTGATACTTGAACAAAATAAAAATATTCGCAACTAATAGTTTATTTAATTGATGATCAAATTTAGTAAATGTAAAAAAAAAAAAAAAAAAAAGTGGAAAAACAGTTTATCAAATGTCTATTAGTTGTACACTATAAAGTAATGTTTACTCATAAAGTACTTCCCAACTACCCTTTGTTTTTAAAAGTTACGTTCTAAATGTCTTTTCAATGTCTTAAAAACGTCTTCTAAACATTCGTAGCAAACGTTAGGAACGTTTAGAAGAGATTTAGAACGTAATTTTTAAAATCAAATGCCCGTAGGGTTGCGTCGTGTTTTAATTGAAGTTTTAATTTAATTCAAATTTATGTAAAGAATACTATAAAAATGCTCCTCAGTTCCAAAAATTAATAAATCTAACGTAACCATATTTATAATTAAAGTTTGACAAAGTTAATATTAACTTTTGTTTTAATTTCATTCTTTTTAACTTACGATATTTAATACTACGGAATCTAATTTATATATGGTAAGAGTTTATTTTTTACAATGTTTTTAAAATAATGAAACACTGACCGTTGATGGTGCTTGAACCACTTGGTTTTTTGAAGGCGAACATCCCATTTTTTTAATGTTGTTTTTAATTTTTAAATTTTTTTTTATTCGTTAAAGCTTTACTCACTATCGCAAATTTAGTAGTTTGTCATGGAGACCGAGTAAACAAAACGTATAAAAGTAAACATTAGCATAATTAAAAACTGCTCTCATTTAATCCGTATTGGTTTTAGTATCGAACTCGTAACTATTTGTTTGTTTTTAAAAAATCTTTATATTTTAAATCTTTTATGAAGTTCACTAGGCTTAAGTAAAAACAACAATTTGAAAATAATATTTCATTTTACTCAAATTAAGCAAAAGTTTGTATTATAACGAATTCCAGAAATTGGTTTCTCGTCTACTTGTATAATTTGTACAGTGTTTGTTGAATTGGTTCCAGGCTGACATCCGCTGACAAATACAACACTTGAACCTGTCTTAATAAAACCCATATCTTTTCCATAAGTTATTGCAAATTCAAGTCTGTCAAACATGTCTTCGTGCCACGCTTTGATTCGTGGAGTCGAGTAGACTAAAGGAAACAAACCTCTGTATAAGTGACAAAGTCTGGCAACTTGTTCATTTCTAGTTATCACGATTATTGGGCATTGAGGTCTATATTTTGACATAATCCAAGAAGTTCTAAATGAGAATAAAATATAGTTGTAAAATGTATGTATGTATTATGTATTTAATATGCCTAATGCATAAAATTATTTTTATACCTATGCATAGTATGTATATGCATAACAAAATTAATTAATAAAATAAAAGTTCAAGCCTAAAAATATTTAAAATTTATATATTATATATTATAAAATTTATAATATTTAAAATTAGTATTGAAGTATTAAAAGTACTTGATTTTAAATTCACAAACTGTAAATATCGAATCATTATATTTTGAGAGAGAAAAAAAACACTTTTTGGGGGTATTGTTTAATACATCTCGGACACTTCCCTAGAAATCTTTTAAAATCTTTTACGGTTATCAAAAAAATAAATTGATATTGAAGTTTTTAGTAGATGAGTCAAAAAAATATCAAAAGTTTACTTTTTTAGTTGTCTTTAGTTTTCTTTAAGATTAAAATTTGCAATATGAAATCTGAATTATGTTCTATATGAGTTTGGCACAATTTACTTATTTTTATTTTAATGCGTATTTAAAGCAATTGAGTTAAATGCCAAAACTAATCTTTAGAAAAAAACCTCCATAAATGCTAAGGGGACTAATCTCTTTATTACAAAACATTGTATGTACTTAAAGTTGATTTGGTTAGTGTTAATGCTAGGAGCCTCATTCCTGTATTGGAATGTCCAGTGCTCAGTTGAACATTCAAATTTATGTAGTAAAAAATGCACTTTTTACTTTGTGAGCAATGAACAGGATTGCAAAAAAAAACCGGTTAATCTCTATTTATTTCATTAAAAACTCGTTCATAGTTAAATCCAACTTAATATATCTTAATTAATTTATACCAAATACAATACATTAAGTTGTATTGAACTGTGAAGTTCTTAACATTTCGAACGAAGGTTTTCTATAGGTAGTACATTAAATGTCGGAATAAATTATACTATAAACACTTATTTTAGCCACATTAAAAAATATTGTTGCCATAAATCAAAACTGTATTATTTGATAAAACTTTTTTCGTTTGCTAACAAGTACATTGTTATAATTAAAGTGAAGTAATAGCCAATTTAAATAGTATTTTTAAATTTGTTTAAATTGCCTAATAGACAAAAATACCTTACTAAAACTCTTAAGAAATTTATAATACCGATCACTTTACATTTTTGAGATAAACCAATTAAAATTAGAGTGTAGCAGCAATTATGGAATTGGTCAAAATGTTAATTAAAGTGATAAACTTGTTTGATCAAACGTTTTCTGGTGTAATTGAAAACACTCCCACTTCTTTCTTGATTGCGTCTAAGTATTCCTTGAGGAGAAACTTTTATATATATAGATTCATTTCTGATGAGTCTTGATGAAACACAAAGTAAAATGAAAAAAAGTGACAATTGATTTTCTACTAATTTATTATTTCTCTGTTCTTTTAAGAACTAATTTATTATTTCTCTGATCCTCGAAAGACCAGAAGAGAAAATTTTTTTTAATAAATACAATGTTGTGCCAACTAAAAATACAAAGTTGAATTAACGTAAAATATTACACTTCGCTAACTTAAAAACAACGTTGCTGCATTTTTAGTCGTAAAAAGAGTACTTTATTGAAACTGTAAATAAAACAAATTTCATATTTATATTTTTCTGTACAATCCATTTTCTTATAGAGAACAAACCAAATTAACATCAAAATCTATAATATAATTATCAAAGGACATATACTAATTAATACTGAAAGGCGCATGTAATTGTGTGTGTATGCTGATGATAACGCTGCGTTATGGTTGTCACGCTACGTTACACCTACATACTTAATACTAACAGTGGTCCAACGAAGCGTTAATCTAGTAAATTAAAAACAATTCCAAGATTGAATCATGTAATCTAGTAAATTAAAAACAATTCCAAAATTGAATTGAAAAAAAAAAAAAGCCACTTGTGATTCAACTTTAGGCCACAACATTACGCTTAAAGCAACCAAACGTAATGCAAATCTAGTAAATTAAACACAATGCAAAGGTTGAATCATACCCACTCGTACACCAACAGTAACTCTACTTCATGCCACAACATGACGCTTACAACAACCAAACTTAATGCAAATCTAATAAAACGTGCACAATGATAACGTTGGCTTGATAAGCAGCCAATTAAATGCAAGTGCAACGCCAACATATTGTCATCTCAAACCCCAACATTGAAATACGGTTTAAATAGTGGTCTAAAATATGTATCCAAATTTAGAAAAAATAAAAGTCCTAATATTAAAAAAAAAAATCTTAATACTACCTTATTTATCATACATTTATAGCATCAAAATTAAGAAACCACTCTAGCAAAAGCGCTACTAACCCGATACATGAATTTTTAGACCAGCTTGAATAGTTTTAGTGTGCTAGATATTGAAATGCTTTTCTGAGTCTTCTAAAACTTATTTATTGGCAACAAAATTAGGTTCAAACCGTTTTGAATATTACACTTCTAGCGAGGCTCTCAAGGAGAATATATCTTTTTTTTTTGCACTTTTAAATCTCAGAAGATCTGGTTTGCAGAGAGATAGAAATGTTACCCATTCATAAACAAACTTAAATGCTGTAGTCAAAAAAAGTGTAATTTGTAGATACGTAGGACTAAAGATAAACATATGGATCCTAAATACACAATAGAAATGGTTAAGTACGGTGGTGGAAAAAGTGCAGTTGATTCGATGAATCGGTCATTCGATGAATCAATAACATAATGTTATTGATTCGATGAATCGGTCCAACCGATTCATCGAATCAATAACATTATGGATTAACTTGTTTATTGTTATATTCTTGAAAAAAAGAAAACAATTTTTGTAAAATTTCATTTTTCATTCAAATTTTTCATTTTTCCTCATGCTGATAACAATACGTCTCTTATATGGACGTTTCAACAAGAAAACGACACAAAACACACGTCTAAAAACCTTAAACAATAATTTGAAACGAATCAAATGGAAGTAACAGGTTTCCTACTATTAAAACTGGGGTTAAAAGTAAGGACTTTAAGGAGATTTAAGGAGATATTTTCCTAATATTTAAGGAGATTTTGGTTTTTATAGTTGCAAATTTTTCGACTACATTTTTGAATAAAAATACCAATACATGCAAAACAACACGTTTATTCCTTTTTAGGTAGTCTTTATACAATATCAATATCAGCAACCATATTTTAATTGTTAATTGAAAAATGGAAACAGCACTGGAAGGTTCAATGAGTCTCAATGATTTTAATTAGCCGCTTATGCATGATTGATTTTCCAAATTTTTTTATGTTTACAAAATTAATTAAACATAATTAATAATAGTATGCTAAACAAGTCTATTATTTTGTTGAGTTTATTGTAATAAAAATTTAATTAACCGCATATCTGAATATTTTGTAGTTAGAATAATTTTGAAGTTGGAAGGTAAATAAGTATAAAAAATTATTTTGTATAGCTTTTGATTACTTGGAATGATGAATGTATTGCGCGCGAGAACTTCTAAATATTTTTAAAGATATTTTTTACAAGCTAACCTCCCAGACGTTGTAAGCACAATGATTGCACTTGCAAGAGCTTTAAAAGAAGCAGCCACTGCTGCGATGCAAGTTGTTTCTGTAGCATTTGTGACATAGTTTTTGCTTAAATGTTCCGAAAATGATTCCTTATAAAATTGAACAGTAGCTGCTTGTCGACATATCTAAAAAAACTCAACTTTAAATAATTTTCAAAACGCATACTCAGACAAATCAAATATATAATAACAGATCTACTTTATGCATGACAGCTACAGCCTCTATAGGATAAGCACCGTTTGCAGTTTCACCGGACAGCATTACACAATCGGCTCCATCAACAACAGCATTCCCAACATCGGTAATCTCAGCTCGTGTTGGACGGGGGTTTTTAATCATTGATTCCAACATCTAAAAAAAAAGAATAACTAAATTGGTTATTTTAGAAAATTCTATTTTAAAGGATGAGTCAACTACCTGTGTTGCACAAATAACCGGCTTTCCAGCTCTGTTGCAGCGGGTAATTAAAATTTTTTGTGCTAAAAAAACTTTTTCAGCTGGCATTTCCATACCCATATCACCTCGAGCCACCATTATTCCATCTGCTGCTGTAATAATTTCGTCAATATTGACAACACCTTCGTAATTTTCAATTTTCGCAATTACTTTAATAGATTTTCCTTCCTCACCAAGAGCATTTCGTACTTCTGCGACATCTGACGCTTTGCGAATAAATGAAGCAAAAACCATGTCAACCTTTTAAAAAAAAACTTTAAATATTTTCTTAATAGTTAATCTTTTTATTTGAAAATTATAACAGCCTTATTTTCGAATTTATCATTTTTATATATATATATATATATATATATATACTTTATCTAAAGGTTACTTTGTTTTTTACACCAAACAATAAGTCTTGTTTATCTTTTTCTGAAACCGCAGGTAAAGCAATTACCGCTCCCGGCAAGTTGCAATTTTTTCGGCTGCCGATTGTTGCGTCGTTTAACACCACGGCCAAAAGATTATTATTGTCAATTATTTCTTTCACTTCAAGCAAAAAGTTTCCGTCCGCGATTACAATTTTGCTACCACATTTTACTGAATGAATAAGATCAGGATAATCTAGGAACAGTAGGCTTTCCGAACACTGGTTTTTAAAATATGGATCAGAAGTTACTTTCAGTTCTTGTCCTTTGACATACGTAACTTCGCCACCCTGTATAACAGGAATAGTTTTTGTTTGTTTTATAAACAATTTATTTTCACTCACACACACATTAATTCTAATGAATTCTTTTCAAAATTAATTTTTTGAAAAAATAATGTAGCCTAAAGCATCTTCCTGAATGCAAAACAACTCCAGTTATAATAAAATCAAATATAACAATTCCCAACTTCCTTTGAACTGCAAGGGTAGTTTTATAGTTAAAATTAAAAAAGAAATATTTTTCCTAAAATTTGAACTTTTTGATAATTAGACATTCTTTTTGATGAACCACGAAAATAAGAAACAGCCAAAAACAAATTAAAAAAACATTACGGACATTCTTTGTGTTTCCAGTTCGAATTTCAGCTCCTTTTGTATCCAACGCCAATCCAACAACGTGTGGAAATATTGTTTTTGCCGCAATGCGAATATTATCGATAGTTTTTTGGTGGTACTAAAGAAAGATTACTATTATTTTATATTTTTTTACATTTTATATAATTTTTTTCATTTGTCGCATGTTCAACTCTCTATCAGAATAATAGTTCAACTTTATAACCCTGTCATTTAATATTGGAACGTTAAATATTGGTGTAATAAAAAGTTTATTTTAACCTCGTAAGAACCGTGAGAAAAGTTTATTCGGGCAATGTTTAATCCATTCGCAATAAGCTCTTCTAGTACACTCACTTCTTGGCTTGATGGACCTGAATTATGTAATAACCATAACAATATCAATGTATATATATATATATATATATATATATATATATATATATATATATATATATATATATATATATATATATATATATATATATATATATATATATATATTGTAGGAATTGTGTTAATATTTCCAGTAAGAGTGTATACAGCATGTTTTATAATTAGTAGAGCAAATAATATAGTGAAAACTAAATAATTATTAAGATATATTTCAATTACATAACAAAAAGTTTCACGCAATAGTGATCATCAAATGTAACAACAACAAAAAAGAAACGACAAAAATTATATACAAAAAACATAGCTAATATATATAAATATAGCTTGTATACAATATATATATATATATATATGTATATATATATATATATATATATATATATATATATATATATATATATATATATATATATATATATATATATATATACAGTGTCTCAAAAATTTATCCGACCATACAAGTTTTTCACAACAACAAAAAAAGTTCACGCTCTAAATTATACTAAAAACAATGAACAGCAATACTTACTTTGTCTGTCATTTTAATTCTATTGGGAAAAGTATGTTATTTAGCGTTCATACTTTTGGATTTATGCTTCAGTTGGTTTATTATTTGCCCTAAAAAAAACTTAGCATTGAATAGGTTTGTAAAAAAAATTATCCGACCAACCGATATTTAGGTAAGTTTAATTACTTTTATGTGAAATTTGTTGAAATATTTTAGCAAATTTTTTTTACAATGAATGAAATTGCATAACAAAAAACTGTTTTTTTGAGTGATAAAAAGTTTTGTATAAAGAAAAGGTTTCATGTTTTTTAAGTACTTTTAAGAACTTAATCCAGCGTTGCCACACAAAAAGTAAAATACAATTATGGTCGGATGTCAGTAAGTTAGATATAATGGCATCGGCTCTTTCAAAACCTGGCTCTTTCATACACACTCTCCCCTACAATATTGACAAGTTTTATTCTTTAATTTCGAAACAACTTCTTCAAGATTCTATAAACCATGCAAAACAGTTCACCAAAATTCCTGATAAATCACTCGAAATTATTTACCACACCAGGAAATCTTTACTATATATGGATTAAAAAGTCGGCGGACCCTAATTTCGATGTCACTATGGGTAGTTTTGACGGAGCCGAATTGTGTGAACTAGTTGGCCTCTACATCTTATATACTATTGCCAAAGAATATGGTTTTAATACAACTGGTCTATATAGAGATGATGGTCTTTGCTGCTTCTATAATATCAATGGTCCTCAATCGGAAAAAATAAAAAAAAAATTTAATAAAAATTTAAGACAAATTTAATGTTAACATCACTATCAGACCAAACTTAAAAACCGTAAATTTTCTTGATATCACATTCAACCTTTCTGAGAACTCTTTTAAACCTTATAGAAAACCAGGACATAATCTTTATATATTAACATCAATCCAATCATCCACCAAGCATCAATCCAATCATCCACCAAGCATCAATCCAATCATCCACCAAGCATTAATCTAATCATCCACCAAGCATCAATCCAATCATCCACTAAGCATCAATCCAAGAACCTATACTAAAATGGAATATTCTCGATCAAGAGGAGCCATTAAAACCTGGTGGTAAATTTTGCAATTTATGCTTGACAGAAAAATATCACATTATTACATCGCCATTAAGTTTGCTTAACAAACGAACCGATCTTGCGTAAAAATGCCGCCATGAAAATAAATTTCCAATAAAGAACTTTAATGTCATCAAAGCGGACACTCCATGCATATTATGTTTTTGTTACATCTGATGATTGTTATTGCGTGAAACTTTTAGTTATGTAATTAAAATATAACTTAATAACTATTTAGTTTTCATTATATATATATATATATATATATATATATATATATATATATATATATATATATATATATATATATATATATATATATATATATATATATATATATATATATATATATATGTTCCACACAGATCGTGAGATCGTGTGTAACATATATATATAGATCGATTTCACGATCTGTGCGTAACATAAATATATATATATATATATATATATATATATATATATATATATATATATATATATATATATATATATATATATATATATATATATATATATATATATATATATATATATATATATATATATATATATGTATGTATGTATGTATATATATATATATATATATATATATATATATATATATATATATATTTATATATATATATATATTTCGAACATTAGCAATAAATTTGTAAAAATGTCATTTTGCCATAATTTGTAATATAATTTTTAATTGGTTTGTAACAAGTTTATTTGTCCGTTAAATTTTTTCTCTGTATTGTCTTCAGTTTTTAAATCTATTTACCAGAGTTTTAATTGTAAATTAAATCTTTTGAAAATGTAGTAAGACTACGAAACATGTCAAGAATAAAAAATATTGTGATTTTTATTAAAGTTTATATATATGTATATATATATATATATACATATATATATATATATATATATATATATATATATATATATATATATATATATATATATATATATATATATATATATATATATATATATATATATATATATATATATATATATATATATATATATATATAGAGAGAGAGAGAGAGAGAGAGAGAGAGAGAGCATTGATGTTTGAGATACCTAACTTCCAGACATTTATAAATAAACTGAACACCAAACTTTTATATGTTTATATTTATGTCAAGAAGGATACTTTGCAAAAAACTGAAAAGTATCCTTCTTGATGGATACTTTGCAATTTTTCCAATCATCGATTCTCGATCAGCGGCTCAGCGGTAAGGCTAATTTTGCCTTCTTCTTGCTATTATGTTAAATGTGTATGTAGTGTATATATTCTTAAACGGTGAAATAAAATAAACTGTAACGATTAAACGGTGCTCGATTACTGTATCAGTTATCAAATTTTTTATCTACAATTTTTTTTTTCATTTTTCTTTGTTTTATTAAGACTAAGACTCATTTTTAAAACTGATGCTCCATCATATATTTAAAACTCTCCACCAGAAGAGTTTTAAATTTATGACGCTGGTAACAAAGAAAATAACTTTCCCATTTTTATCTTATTGGTTGTTGTAGAGTTTTTTTTTTTTTTAATCTATTATGTATAACTTTATCGTTTTCGAAAATTATAAAATAAATAATAAGTAATATTGCTAATGTCTCAAAATTGTACAAAATACAAGTTACAGAAATTATATTTTGCTACAGTTTCTGAGTTTTTATTACTTTAAGAAGATAGCTTAAAAAATGGCGAATAATGGCTTCAATGCGATCTAAATATTTATTGAGCGAAGTAACTATAAAGCATTAAAATAAAAAATTGTTTTGAAATTTAAGTCTATAAAAAATTAAGTCAAACTGCAGTTTTTTAATAATAAACCCTCTTAAAATTATTATTATAATCGATAATTAACGAGTAATTCGACGTAGTTAACTCAATTTAAAAGTGAATTTGTTTAGGCAGCTGTAGGCAGTCAATTTTAAAACAACGAGATCAACACCAACCTGGTGTTTAATGGTATATAAATTAAGGCGGTTGATCCGTTGGTTTTAAAAATGTTTGAATTTTTTTTTTACTCAGAATTAATGTTTTTTTTGTTAAATATATAAAACGCAATAAAAAGTTTTAAGGCTATATTTAAATAACAAACATGATACTATAACGCAAAATTATTACCTCACAAAATATAATTTCTATTAATATGTTAAAGTATTCTTACCATTTTTTAAATTTCAAAATTTTCAATTTTTTTTTCGATTGGTTTTTACTCAGATGTTTTCTTTGTTGAATTTTTATATAAAGCGCAAATTTTTTTTGATAAATAGTATTGAAGGCGATATTTAAATAAGAAAAATGATATTTTATCGCAAAATTATTACCTAACAAAACGTAATTTCTGGCTTATTAATATGTTGAGGGATTCTTGCCACTTTTTAAATTTTCAAATTTTTATGTATGGTTTTGCCACTTTTTGATCCATTGTGCAATACTTTAAGTTGGAGTTATAAAGGTATTCATCTATCACATCTAATGATTCTGGATAGCCCAGTTGATTAGAGTGTTAAACTAATTCTTTAAACATGGACTGTTAAGTGATAATAGTTCTAATCCAGAACCGACAACTCAGAGCTTGAATAGATTTACAATACTTAAAAATGTTGGTAAATAGCGGACCCTACTTTGCATTAGTCATTAAGACTATTTTGGCTGTTCCTATACAAAGTCTATTGACTTGTAATAGTATCTTTGGTTTTAAGAGCACTTTGTACCAAAATATAGCAAAAAATTCAAACAAATTCAAAAAAATAAATTTTTGTACATCTTTTTTAGCATTTAAATATATCCAACTTATAGTTTTTCTATTAATTGAAATAAATTCTACAAAAATGGCTCTGATGTTATTAAAAGCTCAGGTTTTTTAAAAAGTTTTATAATAATAAAGTAAATCATTAAAGAAATATTTAGTAAATAGTATATAAAATTACCGATTGTACAAATTATTCCTGTTCCGCGAACTACTGTGGGAGGTTGGTCAATGTTCAACAGGCTTAAATATTCTCCTCTAGTCATAGCAAAAGGGTATGTTACAGGTAATTCTTCTTTATATTCTAGACGAGCTTTAGAACCAGACATTGTTGCAAACTTTAAATAAAAAATATAATTATAAACGTAAAACTTTTGTTGATTTGTGTTAATAAACATATATTTATTTTTATTATAAAACAGCTACAGCATGTTAAACATTAAATAAGTTCCATAGATTATCACATGAAATGACAAATCAATCCAACTAGAATCTGGATCCTAAACCTTTACATAAGTGGCAAGAGGAAACATAATATGATGCGACATATTTGGAATAATATTTTTCCCTTTATAAAAAAATCTTTTATTAAAATGTTCAAAAATGATGCATACATGGTAAAAGCCGGCTTCAAAACAAAAGACCTCAAGTGCTGAAATACTAAATACTAGACGTAAATTTAGTTTGACGAAGAGCTTTATAAAAAAATTGAAAGAGCTTTATAAAAAAATCGGAGAGCTTTTTAAAAAAATCGGAAAAACGTACAACTTATTTTTAGTAAAAAACCTTATTAAATATCGTACACAAACTACTTCATGGAATACGGTTATTGACTATTTTACTATTTAATAATCTTCCAGTTATTCTGACCTCCTAGGGGAATAAAAATTTACTTCGAATAACCGAAATTTTGAACAACAGAAAATCCTCTTTAATGTAATTTATTTCAAGTTATAATTAATATTTTTATGTAGTTTTTGATTTAGGTTTACGGAGTCTTGTTACGGAGCACTAATGAGTAGCATTTAGTAGCATACTAGTAGCATATTTAGTAGCAGTAGCATAGTAGCTACGAAGTTCACACCATCTTCTTTACCAATGATGAAAAACATTCCCATAGCTCGTTTTTAACCGCTTGCTTCTGAGACAAGCACGCTAACTATTGTGCCACGTCTGCTGAATTTCAATTTTAACAAAAATAGTGAGTAAAAAGGATGAAAAAACAACTTTTACTTGTAAAATAATAAATTTTTTACAAACTTTTAAAAATGTTGTCCATTTTCCATACCGTTTTAGTTTTGAAAAAATCGTCCATTTTTGATCGCTTTTTTGTTTCTAAAAAGTGTTTATTAAACATCTTCGATACGAAGCTTAGTGGTTGTCGAATTTCGACGCCATTGTTAAAAAGAGACCAGCATCCAAGTACCTATATTGCACGTGCAATCTCTGGTAAATTTAGCTTTTCAGGAGGCAAATTGATCGACACTTCATCTATCTCCTCTTTTACCTCACCTCAATTGTTGATTAAAATAACATCCAGAATTTCTCTGTGATATCAATTGTTTCACTTTTACAGGTCTTAAAATATTGACGTCATGGTCAACAGCTTATTTTTTATTTAATAAACCACATGGTCTTAGCTCGTTGAAGTTCTCTTTAAGCAATTTGAAAGGATTAGTTTCACGATTTATGTTAGAAATCTGTTTTTCCTACAAGATGTCTGTTTTTCTAAACGATTCTTTACAGTGTTTGTCGCTAAAGCGTCCCATGACCTGACCGACAATGACATGACCTGACATGACCTGACCGACATGCTCTTATTTTCAAGAATTTTGATCTTTAAGATAGTGTTACTAGCATCGGTATAAATAATCTGACGCCTCACAACATTCGTGCAATAAAAAGTCTTCAATGCTCTTATAATTCCATGGTCAATTGGTTGAGTTTTGGAGGTTGTGTTGGGTGGTAGAAATACTAATTCAATTTCTACGAGGTTGTCAAGATAAGGATGAGCTGCGCAGTTATCTATGATTAGAGCAACTTTCCTACCCTCAGCATTGAACTTCGAGCCAAGACTTTTTAAATTAGTATATAAGTAATAATTTGTAAATATTTTAGAGTCCATTTAGGGTTTTTTTGGGACTTGTACAGACAAGGTAGGCTTTTGACTTCTTTGAAACATCGTGGTTTTTCTATCTATCCAATTATCAATGTAGGCAGCTTTTTGCTAACCCCATTTCCTGCTAGACCTGTTAAACGAACTTTGCACATCATTCACCTGTTAGATAATAGATTTTTTGTCAAAATTGTTGATATAAAAATTGAACTTATAAGCGTTGTAAATATCCCTTAACTCATACCTTGAGAGGATTGTGAGCAAATAGGTCTGCTCCCATCTTGCTTTCTTTTCCTCTGTGCATAACCTTTTCTCGCCAAAAAAAGTTCGAAAAACAACATTATGTTTATTTTTCTATCGATCTAGCCATCCTGAAGCCTTAAAATCCGTTATGTTGAGTTTTTTTGCAAAATCTAAAGCATTTTCTGACGTGCCCGCCAATTGCTACATTTTGTTTACGTGTCAAATTGAAGGCGGAAATAATTGCCTCCCGCCGGCGGATGTAATGAAAAATAAATGCTTGTTTTCTTTAAAGTAATTAAATATTAACTAGAAACAAATGTTAAACAACAATAATGTTAAAAGATGTTATTAATAATGTTAAAAAATGTTGTGTTTTTTTTAAATATTTTTACAATATAAAATGACTTGAATTAATAGTTTAATGTTATTGCCTCCACTTTTCTTCCATCTGCTGCGGAAGAAAAGTGGAGGCAAGAAGATTTACGCCGTTTATCAACACTGTCAACATGCTTCAAATACTATCAAATCATGCTTCCAAAAACTCAACTTTTTGAGGAAGGGGGGCGTAGAGGGCTATCTAAATCCCCATGAAATTAATATTCAAAAATTAGTTGGCAAATTCGGACACTGGAGTCGGCAAATTAGAAAAATAAAAATTGCTTCAAATAAGCAGGAAATTTAAATAAGTGCCAGTTTGAACAACCGGAAGCAGTCAGCCAACTGGTCAGCGGCTCATGAAAAAAGTAATGATGCTATTATTAGAAGTAAAAGTAGAAGTAGAAGTAAAGTCTTAAGTGAATTGAAAAAAAGTTTTGTTTAATTTTAACACCATAGAAAAAAATCTTAAAGAGATACCATTAAACCAGTTGTCATTTTAGGTGTAGATGGTATCATCTAAAGAGTAGATGGTGTTATCTTAAGTGTAGTCAAGATAAAAACCATGTTATCAAAAAGTTTTTTTTTACGTTTAAATAAATGCTATTGGCAAAGTTAATCCCCATTCTAACTTTTAATATTTTTTCAAGGTAATTGACGTAGCAATTCATTATTTCATTTTTTTCATTTTATTCATTATTTTGAAACATGATGGTGATAGGATATTTTTGGCGGCGAATGCACTAGGAAAAAGTTGAGTAGAAAGAACAATGGTAACTTTAAGTCGTGAACTTTATACAGAAAAATATGCAAATATAATTCTTTACCTAATAAAATAAGGATACAAATGAACGCAAATGAGTATAGAAGAAAAAGATTTATCTTTTATTTGAGATAATAAGGTCTTACTATAAAAATTGCCTTTATTTATGATCGGTTAAAAATAGTTTTTTTCCTTTTTTTTTTTGCGGTTGAAGTCCATCTGTCTTATCACAGAGCACCGCGGAAAAGTATTTAACTAGGAACGCCTCCTTTCTTATCATTGAAAATAATTTTCTGGCTTAATCAATTCCTTAGCTTTTTCTACATTTTGTGAAAATGTTGAGTTAACAAATATTATTAAATACTATTAACACTATAACCTTAATTTTTGAATAAAACTTCAGCGCTACATACAAAAATTTAAAAAAATGAACTGAAGGTAGTCTAAATGCACCAAAGGTCAGGGCCGTTGAGAGGGAGGGGGGCAAAAGGGACATACTTACCCCGCACGCCAAGACATTAGGGGACGAAGAAAATTTTATTAAAGAGCTACCATATATTAAACTTTTTTTGTGTGTGTTTTTCTAGTGTCTATACGTTATACAAGTGTTAAACTCTTTAATAGGCTTTGTTGTCAGACGGCAACAACTGTTAGAACCTTTGCGGAAAAATTATTTTTAATCAATTAAGAATAATTGATTAAAAAAAATTTTAAAATATTGTAGCTCAATATATTCAAAAAATAATTTTAAAAATAAATTGTGTGTGTTTTTACTTAATACTAGTGTAAACTCTTTAATGAGCTATATGACAAAAAATAAAAAATTTATAAATAAACTCATTTTATTTGTTTTCATATAGCAACAGTGTCTCTTTAAAGTGTTAAAACAATAACATTTTTTTTTTATAATTTATACACAGTTTTAAATTAGATTTTAAAAAGTATATTATTATTGTTTGATTGCATTGATTATGACTTAAAATACAAAATGTTGAATAACATACTGTTGCGGAAACATATGACATCTTTAACTTGCGATCAAATACAAAATACTTTGTTTATCGAGTAATGATAAAGATATTGATTTTAGTCTCATACCAATATCAAGAATAAATGAATCGGTGAATGTTAAAAGGGCGGAAGTCCAACATTTTAAATTTTCGAAAATCAAAGAAAAACTCCATTTCCTATCCCCAGTAGTAAATTTTTGTTAATGGTTTACTAACTTTTTTTGTGAAGAGGATAATGTTTTTTACCTTCAAAAAAAAATTATTAAACCGTTAACAAAAATTTATTACGGGGGAAAATGCAGTTTTTTTTAACTTCCCAAAAGTTTAAATTGTAGGACTTACGCCCTTTTAACATTCCTTCATTTGATAAACCCTTATTTTATATATTAATCTTTTTTGGGATGATAGTATTATTGAAATTAAAGTTGTCAATTATGATGACAGAAGCAGTTATGAGAAACTACCGCGTCTCCCTACAAGGGAAAGTTTATTTAACAATATTTAGTCTATTTTGAATAAATCAGGTATCTATACATAATCAAGCCGAATTTTTACACTGCAGTTTCTTCAAAATGGCTTATTATATCAGGTAACGAGTGTTACTATTATCAGGTAACAAGTGAGAACGACTGTTACTAATATCAGGTAATGAGTGGGAACTACTGTTACTGTTATCAGGTAACGAGTGGTAACCACTGTTGCTATTATCAGGTAACGAGTGAGAGTTACAGTTACTATTAGGTTCAGCATTATTTATATAGAGAATCGCAAAAAATGAAATATTACATAGAGATTTGCAAAAGTCATGGATTAACCGGAGATTGATATCTT